AAACTCAGATAAAACTTATTTGCAGTGTTCTTTGCTTTCAGCTGAGATCCATCTGGCATCAGCAGTGATATCCCTTATTCCGTGTCTTCTTCTGAATCCAGCTCACATTTCTGGATATTTCCTGTCTAAACACTGCTGCAACTGTTTTTTGAAATATCTTCAGCACAATTTTATTTGTGTGTGATATTAAGATATTATTGGATTATTTCCATATTCTGTTGAATCACTTCCATTTGTAATGAAAACAAATATGGATCTCTTACAGTCACAGGTTCAGGCAGCTGTCTTCCAAATTTCTTGGCATAAATGAATAAGTGCCTCTAGTGCTGCATCCATTTGTTGAAACATCTCAATGAGTATGCATCAATTCATGGACACTTACTTTTTGCTAATTCCTTCAGTACAGCTTGGACTTCTTCCTTCAACACCATTGCTGTTGTTGTAGTTGTTGTTGTTAGATCCATTGAGTTGGCTCCAACTCATAGCAACCCTTTGTACAGCTGAACAAAACACTGCCTAGTCCTGTGCCAGCTTCATGATCCCTGCTGTACCTGAGCCCATCATTGCAGCCACTGTATCAATCTATCTCATTGAGGGCCTTCCCCCTTTTTTGTTGACCCTCCACATTACCAAGCATGAAATCCTTCTCCAAAGAATGTTCCCTTCTGACAACATGACCAAAGTAGGTGAGATGAAGTCTGGCCATTCTTGCTTCCAAGGAGCATTCTGGCTGCACTTCTTCCAGGACAGATTTGTTGGTTCTTTTAGCAGTGTATGGTACTTTCATCACTCTTCACTAACACCACTGATCAATCAATACCTTTGATTCTTGATCACATTCTACCTCCTGAGAGAGCTGAACATCAATCAGTTCTTTTTGGTACAGTGAATCTGTGCATTCCTTCCATCTTCTTTTGATGCTTCCTGTATCATTCAATATTTTGCACATAGAATCCTTCAACATTGCAAATCAAGGCTTGAATTTTTCCTCAGTTCTTTCCCTTTTGGATTTCTAACTCCAGGTCTTTGCACTTACATTGTAATTGGCTTTGTCTTCTTGAACTTCTCTTTGAAATCTTCTGTTCAGCTCTTTTATCTTGTCATTTCTTCCATTTGCTTAGCTACTCTCCTTTCGCCTAAGCCCCCTAAAGCCAGGAAAGGGAGGGAGTAGGAGAAGCCTTGGGGACCTCAGGAGTGGCAGTATATCCATGTAAAAGGGGTGGGAGGCAAGACTAGGCTCCAAGCCCCCTAAAGCCAGGAAAGGGAGGGAGCAGGAGTGGCCAGGGACCACAGAGTGTCAGGTTCCAGGTAGGAATTAAGGTAAGAGGATGGTGCAGAGGTTTCCAACAGTTAAGGGAGACAAGCATGTCTGTTAGTGATCTTGTGAGGCTTGTACATTGCTGTGAGGCTTGCGGCTGTGCTACTGGTATTTCAGACACTAGTAGAATTGCACATGATGCACAGGTATCAGCCCAGCATACAGACTAAAACAGACTAGGAAGAAGGAGGAGGCCATCCACTTCTCAAAAATTGGCCAGGTAAAACCTTATGAATAGCAGAGAAACACTGTTTGATACATTACTGGGCAATGTTTTGAAAAGACTGTCTGACACAGTGCAGGAAGAAGAGCCCCTTGGGTCAGAAGTTACTCAAAATAGGACTGGGAGAAAGCTGCCTCATTAGAGTAGAACCAGCCTTAATGATATGGATAAAGTAAGTCTTTCAGGACCTCCATGTGCTGATATTGCATGTCTCAAATTGAGGAGAAACAGCTGCAAACATCCATTAATAATTGGAACATGTAATGTACAAAGTATGAATCTAGGAAAATTGGAAGTTGTCAGAAATTTAAGGGAACACATAAAGATTGATATCCTAGGCATTAGTGAGCTGAAATTGACTGGTTTGGGCCATATTTGAATAAGACACCAATATGATCTAATATGCTGGGAATGACAAATTGAAGAGGAATGGAATGGCATTCATAATAACAAAGGATGTTTCAAGATCTGTCCTGAAGTACAATGCTGTCAGTTATAGGATAATATCTGTATGTCTACAAGAAAGACCCATTAATACTACTATTATTCAAACTTATACACCAACTACCAAAGCCAAAGATGAGGAATTTGAAGATTTTTATCAACTTCTGCAGTCCAAAATTGACCAAACATGCAATCAAGATGCATTAATTATCACTAGTGATTAGAATGCAAAAGCTAGAAACAAAGAACAATCACCAGTAGTTGGAAAATTTGGCCTTGGTGACAGAAATAACGCTGGAGGTCACTTGATAGAATTTTGCAAGACCAATGACTTATTCATTGCAAATACCTTTTTTTCAGCAGCAGAAACAGCATCTTTACATGTGGACTTCACCAGATGGAGTACACAGGAATCAAATTGACTACATCTGTGGCAAGAAGAAATGGAAAAGCTCAATATCTTCAGCCAAAACAAGTCCAGGAGCTGATTGTGGAACAGACCATCAGCTGCTCATGTTGTTGTTGTTGTTATGTGCCGTCGAGTCGGACCCAACTCATAGCGACCCCTCCTTGGGTTTCTGAGGCAGTATCACTACGGAAGTAGATTGCCCAATTTTCCTTCCAAGG